CCTGGCAACCGCTGCTCCACTTTCTGTGGCTATGGATCTGCCAGTTGTGGAAATTTCGTTTTCAAATGGAATCATAGACTGTGTGGCCTTTGTGTCTGACAGCTTTCACTTAGCATTGTGTTCTCAAGGTTCACCTATGTTATAAAATGTGTCAGGGCTTCACGGCTGTTCATGGCTGAGTAGTGTTCCATCATGTGGAGGCTCCACATGTTGTTCATCCACCTGCTGGTGGGGGTTTTAGGTGTTTCTTGGAGCTGCCGTGCCCCTCTCTGGGCTAGGAGGCAGGGGTGCACCGAGCAGACCACAGTCTCGGGTCCAAGGGGCTTCCAGAGTAGGGGGGGCAGGGCACGAGTTGGGTGGCTGTTTTTCCAGGTGGGCTGTGTAGGCGTGGCAGGGGGGAGGGACCTGCCAAGAGCCACGTGGAGCCACAGCCAGAACCCAAGGCCCCTTGTTCCCAGCCCCAGGTCGGCCAAGGAAGCACCACCACTTCTTGCTTTGACTGTAGGGTGTTTATGTCAGTTATTGTCCAAACCACAGCCTTCTGAGAGTCAGCTGGGTTGTATTAATGATTAGTCTGGATCCCAGAAGAGTTGAAAGCAGGGACTCAACACAGATACTTGTACACCCATGTTCATGGCTGTGTTAGTGACAGTGGCCAAACAGGTGCAAACAACTCGTGTCCTTTGATGGGTGAGTGGGTAAATCCTGGGATATTGTTCAGCCATGAGAAGGAAGGAGATTCCAACACCTACTGCAACATGATGAGCCTTGGGGACATGGTGCTGAGGGAAAGGAGCCCCCCACGAAATGGTGACACTGTATGATTCCCCTCGATGAGGCTCCCAGAGTGGTCCGAGCCGGAGGGTAGGGCTGCTGGCGGCTGGGAGCGCGTCCATGTGCGCAGTCTCTGTCAGGGGTGATGAAAAAGTTCCGGAGCTGGTGGTGGGGACGGTCGCGGTAATGCTGTGAATATACCTAATGCTTCTGAATCAGGCACTTAAACATGGTTTAAATGGTCAAAATATTATGTTATGTACATGCTACCACAATAAAGAAAACAAATTAGGCTGGAAGGTTGTAGCAGGTGCAGGAAGCAGTGTGAACCCTTGGGGATCCCTAGTTTTTATATGCATTATGTTTGCTCATGCCCCCAGTTCAGGAAGGCATAAAGCAGCAGGTAAGGTGCCCCCAAGCCTGGGCGGTAATG